GGGGCTCCCGGCTCCAGGGGCGGCCGCAGGGCCCTCCGCAGAGGGACCGAGTCCAGCAGGCGGGACACACAGCTCCTGCAGCCCCGCAGACGGCGCGGACACAAAGCGGCCGTGTCTGGGGACGGGACCTGGAACCACAGCGGCTTCTCTCCCCTCCCAGCCCGAGTCTCGGAAAAAGTGGCTCCTGGTCTCCGCCGGCCTCAGTGGCACATGGCCCTCCCCGGCCGCTCCGGGCTCCTGGCCGCGCTCCGCAGCCTGGCTTCCCCTCCGGGAGCCCGTCTCTCCCACGGACCCAGGACCAACAGCGTCTGTCCTCCCACAGGAAGCACCCTCGTCACAGACCACGTTCCCGGGAGTCACGGATGTGGGAGAACCGAGCGCCTCCCTACCCCGCCCCCCAAGCTGGTCCCAGCTGACCGCATGGCCGGCCGCCAGGCCTGTCCTCGGGGAGACGGCCTGAACCCTGAGGTCCGAGCAGGGTGGGACGGCGGCTGCGGATTCCCAGGCTTTGCCGGGGGAACACGAGGGCCGGGGAAGAGGCGCTAAGACCCATCCTGCTCAGCACCCCAGCCGCCTCTGCCCCTGCCAGCAGCTCCCCTGTGCTCAGGGGCAGAGGTCAAAGGGCAGAATGCGAGTCCCTGAAAGGACCAAAGGGGCCGAGCCAGCCTTGGGAGGCGGGACCCAGAAAACCACGCTCATGAGGCCGGCCGGGAGGACGGGGCGCACGGAGGGAATGCCATCCCTATGCCCCTGGGCTGCCCCCCACCCCCATCCCGAGGCCAGCAGGAAGGTCAGACCCCGACTGCCATCGGCACATCCTGCTCGTCACCTTCGAGCCCTGTGGGTCCCCATGTGAGGACCCAGAAGCTCCCTGGCCTCCGGGATCCTACCTGGGCCGTGCCTGCCTGAGGCCTTCGCTGCCACGGTAACCACCTCTTCTTCCCGCCTCTGGGTCAGCACCTGCTGCCCGCCCCGCCACGCTGCCCCCAGCCCATCGCTGCTGGGCACCAGGGTCACAGTGATGAAACTCAGAGCGCGAGGGTCCAGCCAACGCTGCCTTCCCTACGTCACCTCACCTTCGGGGCGCCACTTGACGGGCGAGGGAAGCGGGGTAAGAGGCTCCGGGCATCCCAAGAAACCCAGTCGTTGCCAGCTCCAAGCAGGGAGG